TGCAAAAATGTTGATCCCAACGATGAATATCTTAGAATAATTTTCACCATAAATAAAAGCTTTCACATTATAAGACAGCCCATTTTTTAAACACGCCTTCGCTTATATGTTGAGTCTAAAGTGGATCATTGCTTCATCTCAGATCTTTGTCATTGAAAATGAAGCTCCTCAAGTGCTATATAACCTAACTCCATTAATTCTCCGACAGTGCTGAAGTCAGTGCATCGCTCCTTGATGATTTACAATGGAATAATCGTCGATGAGAATCTACTGTTGGATTACTTATTGGATCAAATGATCATCTCTCTAATCTTGAATGCTGCACAATCTTTGAGCAAGTCTTCTTCTTGTGCTCTGAACTTTTTTTAGCCCTCGGTGCATGTCTGTATATGTGACTACTTTATTGAAAACTTTTATATCTTCTTGTGAAGTTTTTCTCTCGAATATTCCCTTGCGAATCAACACTCTCGCATTATGTCATGACGATGCAATGCAATGCAAATAAAGATGAAAATGACACAAACAAATGAGAAAAAAATGAGTTAGTAACACAAACAAAAGAGAGAAACGAGTTAGTGCAAGAAAGATAATCAATATAGTTAAAAGATGCTATCTACAGATAAATATAACACCTACCCAATCATGATATCTACCCAAACATACTTTAATTAAATAACATTCCTACTCGGACATGTTTTCTACCCAAAATGATTAATCCTAACCGCATGGTATCTAGTTCTCATGCTTTTATTCAAAAAAAAAGAATAAATATATTCTACAAACTTAAAGTAAAAGGTAAAGGTTTAGAAACGCTCCTCCTTTGTGTACACCTAATTTGGAACCTATTGACGGACAGAGGTTCGGTATAGCTATACCTAGGGTGACCGTTCTACTGTTCACTACATACATGGTTTCGGCTTTATAAGGAAAGGGTACTCGAATTGTCCTTGATGTTAGTGCCCCCTTAGGCTGCCAAACCCTCGATCCTCACCCATTACAGGTTTCGAATGAAACGAGTTCAATTCGAGGGGATTCACTACCTTATACCCATACGAGGAATAAATCCCTACGAAGGTATAAGATATGCATCCCATGGGTTATTTGTTAAAACTCATACGAAGACTAAATTCTTACGAGAGTAAAGCAATCACCCCGACTAATTTGGATCAAAGCTCGTGTCTAGAGCTTATGTTATGCAAATGTATGTGATGTGTGTGAGGAGGAGCGTACCTACATTTGACTCAAAAGGAAAAGAAATAAAACTTACCAAAACTTGAAAAGAGCTGAAAGAAAAAAATAAAAAATAAAATGTTAGTATGATAATTAAAAATGAAGCAATCAAAAACTTCAATAAATGGATCATAAGTTAACTAAAGACTTTAACTCATAATTTTCAGCACAACAACAATATATAAGCGACTTACAGCCTGACTCTCTAAAAAAATCCCAGTGGAGTCGCCAAGCTGTCATAATCATTTTTAGGTAAAACAATTAAATATTATTTTTAAAAATAGTTATGACTTTAATTTTGAAAAATTTGGTGATTTTGATTTGTTTGGAATTAAATTGAAAAGGAGTCACCATCGACCTTTGGGTTAGGTAGGTCGAATACTAAAAATGTATTTTAAAACAATTTTAAGGAAAAATCATTTTTAGACAAAAAAAAACTAGTATGCGTTTACCAAAAACTCAATTTAATGGGTCCAGGAGTCGGTTACGTGTGGGGAAAGATTAGCACCCCCACAACGCCCAAAAATCGGTACTTGATCGCTTACAAATTGTCGTAATTGTGGAAATAATAAATTCGCATCGACAATTTAAATATGATCCATTTATCGAAATTAATTAATTTGCTTTGAATTACATATTATTAGGGAAAATTCTTTACCTTGAAAAGAAATCTCAAGATTAACAATCCTCCATCGGGAAAGCTATATCGTCTATTTCTTATCCATAAAAATATCCCCCCATCAATAAATATGTGAATCGAATTGAAAATCGATATTTGCGTAAAATGATTAATTAATAAAAACACATTGAATCATTCACATAAACATATTTAAATAATAAAATAAACTAGATTTATTTCAAGTCCCATTTCGTTTGAACGTCATATCGGATTGTAAGAATTTGATCAAGTGATACTTTCCATGCCCGTTCCACAAATACGTTCTTGAAATTATTCGAATAATATAATATCACTAAATAAGGAAATAATATGGAAATAAATACAATCGTAATTGTAAAAATAAAATAATTACAACCAATAAAATTACATTTATTTATTGTTATACAAGGTTCTAAACCTTGAGGTCGTGGGATCAAGTCCCACGGAGGGCATTTCATAATTTGGAGGTCTCCTACGGAAGCTGCTCTCAATCTGGTGTTGGGGGCAGCCTACTATCTTACCTCCCCCTTACCCCATACATATGGGAAAAAAAGGGACAGCCATTATTGTTATACAAATAAATACATAATATGCGAAATGTATAAATTCAAAAGGGACTAAAACAAAACACTAAAAATTTACACATCAAAATGTAAATAACCAAATACACATATTCGAAAATTTAAGTGATCAAAATAAAAATAACAGAAGCTTAAAGGACTAAATTACAAAAATAGAAAGTTAAAGGACCAAAATAGCAAAAAAGAAACTTAAAGGAATAAAATAGCTAAAACAGAAAGTTAAAGGACTAAAATAGAAAAAAAACTTAAAGGACTAAAATAACAAAAATAGAATCTTTAGGGACTAAAAAAGAAAAAATAGAAATTTGAAGGGCTAAACAGTAATTACAAGTAAACCAGAGCCAAAATCACAAATATTAAACATTATAGGCACTAGAAATAAAAAAATAACCCATAAATAATAAAAATGACTGAAATGAAATAAACATAACCATAAAGGACCAAACAATAATTAAACCCAATGTAACACATTGGCTAAAATAATAAATTTACAAATGTGGTGGCCAAATTTGAATAACAACAAAGATTATATAATACATGGAATCATCAGTTAAAACATAAATATTGTAAATACCATTAAGGACTAAAATAAAATGAGAAAAAATATTATGCTTCCAACAAAAAATTAACCAAAATACTGTAACATAATAAAGATGACCAGAATGATTTAATAAGAACTTATATTTCCTAAATATAAATGAGTCAAGATGCAATGACCAAAGCATGAATATAACCGAAGATATATATATATATATAATGGGGGTAAAATGAAATAGAAACAAATAAGAATACTACAACGAAAGAAAACAAAAGTTTCATTCATGACGAAAGTGTAAGCATTACAAATTAAGAGGACCTATAGTGTTAATATCCCCTTTTCTTCAAAACACGCAACCCCCAACCCTAAACGACATCGTTTTGACTGGGTAATATAAGCCCAAAACGGGTTTCCCTTCTCTCAAATCCCTCACTTTCTTCTCTACCTAAAAAAACAGAGAGAGAGAGAGAGTCAAAGACTCTCTCAAATTCCCCTCGCCAGGGAAGGGAAACTGCTGCTCACCGACGACAGCCACGGTGGCCGGAGAGACCCGAACCCTCCAAAAGCTTCTCCATCTCGCCTTTAACCCGAAAATCTTCTCCAACTAGCCTAAACAACACCCCATCACCCTAGATCTAAAGGGTTTACCTCTCGAAACAAAGGAAAACTACGACCTTTGAAGTGTTTCTCAGACCAATATATGAAGTGATTCGTCTCCCTTCTCTCTTTTGTTTTCCTTTCTCTTTTTTTTTTGTTCCTCTTTGTTTTTGTTTCGGCATTGGTATTTTCCCCTCTATTTTTTCCGTTTTTTCTTTTTGATATTTCTATGTTTTTTCTACTCCCGAATGGTCTCTCTTTCCTCTCTCCGTTTTTATCTTTGCATACGTGATTTCCCATCCCTGTTACTGAGGATATAGGATATGATATCCTATCTCCATTGATTGACCCCTCAAGATTTGCCTTGGATTTGCTTTTTGTTTTCTGACCGATTTGTTCTTTTGACTGATGGCATCTGTCACTAGGAATGGATGGGCTCGAGAGGACTTAACAGTGGCTCGAGAAATTAATGGTGGCGGCTCACGTGGCTCGGGTGTAGGATGGTGATGTTCACACGCTAGTTGGTTAGTCGGCAGTGGCGGCTGATGTTATCCATTAGGGTGAAACCCTAGTTTTGGGGCGATCTAGACCGTTGGTTGGGTCCAAATCCAACCATGGATGGCAAACTGGCGGGTCGGGTGCGGATACCCCCTCACCCATCCCCATACCCACCTAACATTTTCAAATCCATCCCCACACCCACTACCCAACTAGAGACGTACCCTACTAGACTTTCCTGACAACATATATCTTATACAATATTAAGATTTATAAATTAGTCTCTAAAATTATACCTAAATTCATAATGGTTCAAAATTTAATGGGTATTTAGTGGGCGGGCGTTTGTGGGACGGGCGGATACGGGTCGAGTAAGGTCTCAAACCCATCACCCACCCACTACCTGCGACGGGTACCACTTTCTAAATCCACACCCGCCCACTACCCACTAAATTTATACCCATCCCGCCCCAATTGAAGCGAGTACGGTGAGAATCCACGAAACTGTACTCGTTTGCCATCCCTAGATCCAACGGCTTGTTGGAGGTGGCGTTGGGAAATCGTCAGAAACCCTAAAGGGTTCTGGGTTAGATGTTGGGTTTGGATCTCGGGTCGATTCGGGTCTACTTGGCCCAAGTGGACTGATTGTTGTTGTTGTATCTAGGTCTGGGCTCGGGTTAATGTTATAGTTGGGTCACCTTTGGCATGTAAAATATAATAATAATAATAATTATAATAAAATAATAAAATATTATTTTTATAAATCCTGACAAAAATAAGTGTCTACACTTTTATTTTATTATTAGGGACGACTTCAAATGATGTTTTTAATTGTTTAAAAAAAATAATTAGGTTAGCATCTCGGTGGCTTGGTTCATTCGCGGTGAAAAATCTAAAATTGAAAGAAGAGGATCGGAGAAAGTTACCTATCTTCTAATTATCAAAAAAAAAAAAAAGTTCCCTATCTTCTGCAAAACATTTCCTTCGTTAAAACTTAAAAGACCAAAATCGTTTGTTGGAACGGAGGCGAACGGAATTGTCTTCTACAGTCAACACCATATTCCTAAGTTTCTCTCTTTCTCTGCATTTCGCTCTCAAGATCTTTGCAATCCCAAAAAGAAGCAAAATTCTTTTTGGGTTTGTCTTTCATTGCCTTCTTTTATTGATTTATTTTAGAAAGAAACTGTGATTTTTATTGCTTTCAAGTTTGAATTTTTCGTTTTATTTATGGTTGTATTTTATTTGCCATCGTTTATGTTAAACGGTTGTAATTGATTTTTTGTAAAACTTTTTCTTGGTGTGTTTGATCTGCGGATGGGTAATTGGAATATTGATATTTTGGTTAGTTTTCTGTCTTCTTTTCATGCCATTGTGGTTTGCTAGGGCTTTGTTCGTTCAGATCTGGGAATGTATTTTTGTTCTTTTTCTTTTCTGTTTTGATCATGGAATTGATTTTGTCAGATTCCTTATCTTTCAAGTGAAAAAGTTAGATTAAAAAAAATATTAAGGAATTCTGCAAACTCCAGTGTAGTGCGAGGTATTATTTTCTCAATCTGAGTCATTTCCTGGAGCAATTTTGTGTTTCTGAAAATTAATGAAACATGATAAAGTTAATGATATAGGTAGGGATTAGGAAATTTATTGATATTACAAGAGTCATGGCACTCATCTGTAAGAAATTGATGCAAGCTAAAATTTGATCACCTGGCTGTTCTATTTTCATCCCAGTCATGGAACACATTCTGTGGGTTGAGCGTATTATCATAATGGATATAAGATGTTCTAGCATTGTATTTAACCGGCATAATGTGAATGAAATGGTGCAACTGAATGCGGCATTGTTATTGCCTGCCATATATTCCTTGTTGCAACAACTATGTGTTCTATTTGCATCTTTGTTTTTTGTGTTATGATTGAGATTATTGTCATAATTTAGGAAATCGAATGGCACCTGGCGAGGGTATTGACTTGTCAACGTTGCAGTCACAGCTAAGTGAAACTCATGAAATGGAAAGACACAAACGCCAGGTAGATTTTCTGCAAGACAAAATTACAGAGTTAAAGGCTTGCATACAGGGGTCGGAGGAGGAATCAAAGGAGGTAGATGTTCTTTGGCGAAGGGTGAAAACTACTGCTACATTATTGACTTACTTGAAATCAAAAGCAAGAGTAATGGCAGTTCCTGATTTGGCCCATAAGTCATGTGGCATAAAACTAATGGAAGGGGTGGGGCTTGTGGATAAGGAAGGTATACCGTTGTCTGGATGGTCAAGGAGCTCTGATCTCTCTTCGTTTGACTATTTAGATGAGGAAACCTGGCTTGGAATTAGTAAAAAACAAGGTTCTTTGGATGAACAAGATGGAGCTTATATTGGTGAATTAATCAAATCTGTGCAAATGGTCACGGATGTAATGGAAGTTCTTGTTAAGAGGTTCATCATGGCAGAATCTGAAACTGCTATTGAGAAAGAGAAAGTAACTTTGGGTCAGGCAGAAATTAGAAGAAAAGCATTCCAAATTGAGAATATGTCTTTAAAGTTGGAAGAGATGGAAAGTTTTGCAATGGGAACAAATAATATTCTTAATGAAATGAGGCAGAGGGTTGAGGACTTGGTTCAAGAAACTTCTATACAGAGGCAACAGGCTGCTGAAAATGAGCACGAACTTTCTCGTGTAAAGCAGGATTTTGAGTCTTTGAAATCTTATGTTAGCAGTCTCATTAGTTCTAGAGAAACTCTTCTTTCATCGGAGAAGCAATTCCAAACTATTGAGAGGCTTTTTGAACGGTCAGTATGATTCCCTTGGTCAAACTCTTAAATGTTAAATATTTGTTCCATTCTCTACATAGCAGCAAAAAATATGAACTTTGTTCCTTTTTGAGATGCCATATCAGACCATAAAATTATCATTGATGCAGTTGTCGGTACTCGGTAATATATACTTGTTGGTAAATTATGACCTGGATCTCTCATTGCACCCATTTCTTTTCTACCATCAGTAAAGTGTTATTCTTTAAGGTAGGTTTCTAATACTATTCCCACCCTGCTTTGTTCTACCAAAGAACCTAATTTGGTCTACCCTGGTTTCCTTAGCTTTGTGTGCTGTTATAGGCTTGTGTCTGTAATAGGCAAGGACTTAACTGTAAGTGCATGAGAGCAGCAGCTACTTTCGTATGTGCAAAACTGAATTTTGTATCTCAATGTGAGGGTGAATGTGCTGGGGAGTAGAGATATTCAACATTAGTTTGTGTATCTTTATTGTGCACAAGTTTCTTTAGTAATCTTCATTATATTGTGAATCAGGCTAGTTGCTAAGACAACACAGCTAGAGAGTGAGAAAAAGCAGAAGGATGATGATGTTCAAAAACTTATGGAAGAGAATGTAAGGCTGGCTGCACTTCTCGACAAGAAAGAAGCTCAACTTTTGGCCATGAATGAACAATGCAAAGTAATGGCCCTAAACTCTTCAAATATATGATATGATCTCATTTTCCATCTCGTTCTACTGTCTGTCGGACTGCGGTTCCTGGTTTCTTAGTGCCAGCTGGCTAGATGATCAGCCAGATAAATATAGGGTGGTACAAGTAATGCCGCGTAGGTGTATTTGTCACCAGTACTCTCTTGAAGAGAGCATGGAACTTGAATTAGTGCCATTGCTGGGCTTTCGTAAATTGAACCGGTATGTGTGGATGCTTCTTGTTGTGCTATCAGCACACAAATTCGGTGTTTGACGTTGAAGTTTAAATTGCCAAACTTTTCTGTAAAGGCAAGTTATCTAGATGTGATTGTCTAACCACCGACCTTTTCATTTCAGCTTAAAATTATAATGCTCTGTTCTGATACAGAAACACGGTGAATCTGTTTTAGGCCGGAACTGGATGATAAACTGTGTTTTTCATGCTTATTAAGATGGATGGCTTGGATGAGATGAGTTGAAAAGTGCTTGGAATTTGGATAAGCTTGACCTATGGAATTGACCTATACTCATTTTTGGCACAGCACTCATCATTCAGCTGTCGAGATTAGAACTGAAGTAGGGCATAATATACATTATTTATCCATTATTAAACAAATACTTAATCTTCCCCCGCCTACCTCGACGTCTAATATCCTAATTCCTTCCACTTAAATTAATATCTCCTTGATCTAATCTTAAGAGTCAACTTCCAATTTGTTTATCATACGGATAGCTTGCATATAGAATGTCATTTTAAGATGGGAAAAGAGAAGTAAAACGAGCAAGCTAGAATGCACTGCAGGTGAGTAAAGCCAAAGATTAAAATGTAATTGGCATAGTGGAAATTGTGATGCTGAATGGCCTTACGTATATTTACATTAACCATCTCTTTTGTGTCTGCGTTTTGAGGACAAAAGTAACATGCCCTTCACATGCATATCGTTATTTGGATGTGGTCGCCAATTGTCGATGAATTACCCAAAAGTGAATATGGCTTAGCCTATCTATTTTATTCACATAAACCATGGAGTATGGACACCATTATAGTCGTTGTAGCATACCCTAAAATTGGTTGCATGGAGTGGTGGATCTAGAAATATTCTTTAGAGTGTGCACATATATACTAATAATAATAAATTTTCACATGAGATAAACATAAATAAAATTTCAAGGTGAACACTATTAATAATATAAACAACTAACATAAAAATATTCAGATTTTAGGGGCACGTGCCTATCCTAGAAAAGCTTTGCATCCGCCATTTACTGCATAATTTTATGTCATGCGAAGAAACAAGAACAAATAAAATATTGATATATATATATATATATATATATATATATATATATATATTGCGTCAGTTCCCATAATGTATTATTTATTATTGTGGTTATAGAAGTTCATATATGGCAGAAACACATGAACAGTGGAAAACACGTTTGAGAATTATACACGAACTCCACAACACCAAGTTTCTGCCCCCCATATGCTTGAGCCAGCCTTAGACCTTAACCTTGGCACCAGATGTTTTAATTGTTGGTCTGGTTTATAGCCAAAGACAGTACATAAATATTTACTTGCCAACTTAACTAACCTTGCGATACAGCTAGCAAATACGTTGATAATACCCGTCGCTCTTCCAGTTGGTGAAATGCAGGGCTGAAAAGCAATGCCAAAAACTTCACATAATTTGGTTTTAGAAGCCACTGCCCATGTTTCCTCTTCGATGGCACGTGGGGCTAAGCCTTGTTCGATGTTTATCGTAACCTGAATTGAACATGCCAAATTTTGGGTCAAGTGGGACAAAAGCTGGTCGCTTTGTGCTGTCGATGGTGGTCCATAAACAACCGAAATATCCACTTCCCTTTGTGTTTTGACAAACTTGAAGAAAGGACTAAATCATGGGAAATTCCGTGACGTTGTGACAAGCCTTCAATGCCCTTGTGAACTATGCTCCCATTACATTAATCTTCATTTAGTTGATTCCTTCACGTACATTGTACCACGACGCATGAACAGTTATAGGTGGTCCTTGATTTGAAGGTTTAAATGATAGTAGTATGAAACCAGCTAACCACTTGAGGTCCTTTGATATGCCAAATCCTATACATAGCGACGGATGCAAGATTTTATGTTAGAGGAGGCGAACTTGAACTTATAAAATTTTAGGAGGCGAAATCATATTTTTAATAGAAAATACATAAAAAATCTGAAATATATGGTAATTTTAAAACTTTAGGGGGGCAACTGCCCCGCCTAGATCTATCCCTGCCTATACACAAACTTACGGTCTATGTTTGCAATTATATTTGTGTTTGACATCCTTCTTTGCCACATTCAGTGATATAATTTTTTGAATATATTGTTATCTGAATCCAATAGTATAATTATGATAATGATTTAATAACCATATCAATGAATCGTGTCAAATAGAGTGATAAGGCCAATTCCTTTTGTTTGTCACATTGTTCAATATGGAAACTGGGTTCTCAGCCATAGAATAGTGTATGCATTAGAATGGACAAATGGTGGAGAACTTTGACAAGGAAAAGAACAAAGAAAAAAAATGGACCCATGTTGTCTATAGGAGAGACAACATGGTTGGTTAAGCCCCATTGGGACTAAAGCCTGCATGCCTTTTATATTCAGCCATCTCCAATACATTAGCACATGACATTGTTTCAGCGCCAAATTCTCTCTTTAATTTCCCATATAAATACCCTCTATTCCTTAATCCTTCCCCACACCAACTTTTTTTCCCAATTCTCCAAGTAGTTCAAAGCTCGATCGAGTGATTGAAAACAACTATGGCGATCAAGAAATCGAACAGATTTCCTCAAACGGAAGCTATCAAACAGATTCTGAAAAGATGCTCGAGTTTTGGGAAGAAACAAGGCTATGATGATGTACCCAAAGGGCATTTCGTTGTTTATGTTGGAGAAAACAGAAGCAGATACATAGTTCCGATATCATGGTTGACTCACCCCGAGTTCCAGAACTTGCTTCAAAGAGCTGAAGAAGAGTTCGGGTTTAACCACGACATGGGGCTTACGATTCCTTGTGAAGAAGTCATTTTTCGATCTCTAACAGCCATGATCAGATGAAAGAAGAATAAAGCTTTTGCTTCGTTGGTTGCAGTCATATATTATACCCTCATGCATGCACATGAGTGGTTTTTCTGACCAATTGACATTTAGTTTTGCAGTTTAAACTGTATATTGTGCATGTACTTGGCTTTTTCCCTAATGTGGCACATATCCCATTTCCACGTGCTCTTGAGAGTGTCTTTGAAATTGTAATGAAAACATTTCATGAGAAAATCCATGTTTTTTTTCTTTCACATGAATTATGCCCGTATTTCGAGCACATACTCCACGAGTCTCAAGAACTATTCAGTGGGGTTGACTTGGGTTGATTGTAAAATTTGGGTTACGACGGTAACATGTGGTTTATCATTTTTAATTTAGGGGAGGATCGAACCAATGATTATACAAAGAACAGTAAGTCTAAGGCGGTTAAAGGGAAAGAGAATAGAGTTTAACCCCTCTCTCTCATTATATTTGGCGATACTAACCCTTAATATTAATGTCAGATCTAAAGTTATGATGACTATCTATAGATCAACAGGGTAAATAGATGCAGTTGTTAGATAGTATATTTAGTTCTAATTGATTATACGGACCTATCATAGTTATATTAAGAGGGAATAACTGATTGAAAAATATAAAATTTCGAAGTCTATGTTCAATAGAGTAGATCTTTCGAGGATCTTTTACTCGAAGATTTTATCAATGAAGAAATGATAGTAACGACGTGACTTATGAAAAGAAACCTGAAAGAGATACAACAACTTAATAGTTCATCAAAGTTGAATAAATCAATCATATGTAGTAATTACTTTCGGAAGCTTCTTAATATCAAATCGTCCTAACTGTGAGTCTCGTTCAGTTTGGATTGAATGATTGGTTTCTAGCTTGATGTGAATGTTTACAAATGTTCATTGTAGATTTCTTATTATCTTTATGTTTATCCTATTTTTGAATTAACTTTTTATCTTTTATAAGCAGAGTTTACTTTCTATCGTTTTTTGTGATTCTTTTATTCTTTTTTTGTGGTTACCGTAGAACTAATATTTTGATATAACAAATAAGGGTAAAATGGTTTGAACTAAATTGAATTTATTCAAAGTTTTCAAAAATAATTCAAAGTCCAATCAAAACCTTAAAATGAGTATTTTGACCTAAAGTTTTGAAACTTCTACAAGAGTTTCTAAACTTTCCAAAACAGTTTCCCAAAAAGTTTCGATACTTTTCAAGAGTTTCCAAACTATCTCAAGAGTTTCAAAACTTTCCCTAAAGTTTTGATACTTTATGTCCAACGGTCATATTTTTCCAACGACTCTTTCTCAGAGTTTCGAAATTTATGTGCAGATAGTCTTCCAACGGCTCCAAACCTTCCCAAATGGCTAGAAACGGCTAGTAACTCATTCCATCATATAAAAATAAGTTCAAGACACTTGAAGAATGTTACACAACACCTATCCAAGCATTGATCATCAAGAGAAAAATTTTCATTCTTTATTCTTTGTTTTCTATTGCAAATTGTGTGTTTTGAGTGAACTAAATTGTGTAAACACCTACCTTATAAGGGTTTTCTTGTTTACATCTTTTCACCTTTGTAAAGGGGTTTTGGTTCTAGCCAAGCCTTTGAAAAGCTAGGAAGTTTGTAAAGGTTATCTCTTTGTCCTTAAAAAAAAGAACAAATTAGTGGATTTGTTGGAAAATCCTAAGTGGGGAGCTTAGGTAGTGAATGTAGACTTCATTGAGGAAGTTGAACCACTATAAATCATTGTGCAATTTTTCTTATCTTTTTACTTCTTACACCCTAAATTTTAAATTGTCAATTCACCCCCTCTTAACACATTTTCGGTTGATCTATCGAGCTTCATAAATCCTAACAGTTACTTTTTATCGTATTATTTTATTAAGCTAAGGTGATTACAAGTAATATATGTTATAAATATACTCTCAACTATTTGACAGTAAACGCTCAATCACCTTCCTGCTTCAGCATGACCTCCTGGAACAACAACGATTCTTTTAACCACTAAGATAAGTTGGTTAGTGCACTTTTTATCGTATTTTTAATCTTTAGAGTTTAGAATCTTACTGAAACTTGTTGACATATACCATGGCAGCCTCTACAACATATTGGTAGTATTGAATATATAATTACACCCACAATACCTTAAACCTTTTTTTAATAGTTAGGGTGATTATAAGATAGTATATGTTCATAATTTTTCTTAACCACTGACAACTCGCACACACTACAGACGTAGCTGCTTGAACCAAGACCTCAAATAAGAATAACACTTCCTTTAACCACTAAAGCTACTTGATAGGCTAAAACTTTCATCGAAAACTAATGCAGAATTGGAAACATAAAACAGTCAAGTTCATTTCCATCATTGCCAGGCCAAGCAATTTCAATATGTTGTACACTACTCAGTGATCATACTTCACAATGATATACTAAACTAGAAAAAGAAGAACAGTAATGATATCATAATATAGACTTAACGACAGGATATAAAGCAGAAGATAAGAGCTTGCTTTTAATTATTTGGTGGTTTAGAACCTATAAGTGTTGAATTAGGATGTCGATCAATGGATGAGATGGGGACCTGCAGTTAAGTAATCACAATTGTTGGCTTTAATCTTTGTCCACTTTTCACATGCAGGTGGGGTTCCATTTGTTTGTTAGGTGGAGAGCAAGTTTGTAATCTCTTTTGTCCCTTCCAATTTAGGACTCCATAAGTAGCTGAATTTGATTACTTGAGCTACCTTCGTAAGTGGCCTTTGAGGTGATTTCAGGCAAGTACGCGGCTACATGTAACCGATTTTTGAAGCAGGCATGTTGGTTCGCAGTCTCATTTAATATGTGGTCACAAACCTAAACATAAGTCTTCCTAACTTGCCAATTTAGCTTCGTAAGAGACGTTCGAGTTCTACCACCTTTTATTTGTGTGTTATATAATGATTTTATTACGAGTTTAGAAAAGAAAAAATAATATAATATAAAATAAGAAACAAGAAAAAGACAATATTTAATATAGCTCAACTTTACAACAACAACAACAACAACAAAACCCAATTCCCATATGTATGGGGTAAGGGGGAGGTAGGGTAGTAGGCTGCCCCCAACGCCAGGTTGAGAATAGCTTCCGTGAAAGACCTCCGGCAGTCAGAAAATTAAAAATATAGATAAAATGCAATGCATGTATAAATAATTACATAAATACATAGCTAAACAGTATTCATATGCAGTCATTAATACCATATGTGCTTCTGTAATGGGGAGTAATCCCTACAAAATAATCCCTGCGAAAGAGTCTCTGCATATAGACAGAAACCTAAGACCCGGCTAAAATTAACAGAGGAAACATGATGAGAATGATACACATGAGACAACGATAGCAAGCCCAGTTCTAATATTTCATCATAAATACCAATAACAGAAAAGTATAAAAAGTAAAAGTCAAGGAAATAACTACAACTGCTTTTAAAAGAAGACAAAGATGATACACCCTATAGATGTGACCCACCCTACTCGACTACCCTAGTCTTAAGCCTCCATAATTTCCTATCATAGGTCATGTCTTCGGTAAGGCCTAAATCCTTCAAATCAGATCTCAAGCAGTCATCCCACTTCCGCCTTGGTCGTCCTTTCCTTCTGGCACCGTCGACTGTAATCGACTCTACCCTCCTGACCGCATCCGACGGTAGTCGCCTAAGGACGTGTCCAAACCACCGTAGTCTTCCCTCCCTCATTTTTTCGGAAACAGACATCACCCCTAAGGACATCCTAATAGCAGAGTTTGTCGTCATATCCCACAGAGTCCTACCACATGTCCATCGAAGCATTCTCATTTCTGCGGCCTCTATCCTCCTAACGTGATCCTTCTTGGGTGCCCAACATTCTGATCCATACAACAGCGCTGGTCTTATTGCCATTCTATAAAATTTTCCCTTAAGTTTTAGAGGCACCTTCTTGTCACACAAAACTCCAGTAGCAGCCCTCCACTTTAGCCATCCCGCCTTTATACGGTGTGTAACGTCATCATCTACACCCCCATCTTTATGTATCATAGACCCTAAGTACTTGAAATAATCCTTTGAGGGAAGAACGTGTCCTTCTATGCATACCTCTACATTTTCATCATTTTGGTTCCCACTGAAGTTTGAACATAAATACTCTGTCTTTTCAATATTGATCCTTAAACCTTTTTCTTCCAAAGCAGTCTTCCAGGTAGCCAGTCTGCTATTCAACTCAGATTTGTTTCAGCCACTAAGACAATGTCGTCAGCGAAAAGCATACACCAAGGAACACCGTCTGGTGTCGCACAATAGATGTCGTCCATAATCAAGGCGAAGATGTAAGGGCTAAGAGCCGACCCCTGGTGGAGTCCGATTTCCACCGGGAATGCCTCGGTGTCGCCAACTGTAGTCCTGACGTAAGTAGTAGATCTACAGTACATATCACAAATGTCCGGATATAAGCATTGGTATCCGTCTCGTTTCCAAAGTCTTCCAGATCGTATCGCGAGGAACGCTATCATAAGCCTTCTCAAGGTCATGAACGCCATGTGAAGATCTCTAGACTTTTCCCTATATTTCTCCATAAGCCGTCGAAGTAGATGAATCGCCTCCGTGGTAGACCTGTTTGGCATAAAGCCAAATTGGTTTTCCGAAACCCTAGTGACTTGTCTCAACCTAGCCTCTATCACCCTTTCCCATAGCTTCATGGTATGGCTGAGTAGTTTAATACCTCTGTAGTTACCACAACGTTGGGATCTCCTTTATTTTTATAAATTGGTATCACTGTAGACTCTCTCCACTCCTCTGGCATCTTGGCAGTCTCTAAAATAATATTAAAGATGTTGGTCAACCACTTAACTCCCTCATCTCCTAAGGCTAACCACACAGTGATAGGAATTTGATCAGGACCGACAGCTTTCTCCCTTCCCATCTTTCTAAGAGCCATTTTGACTTCCTCAACCCAATCCTACTTGTAGGGCAGTCATTGGCCGTAGTATGATGGTCGGCTGACCCAACAACGATATTATCTCTACATGGAGAGGCACCGTCATTAAATAAGCCAAAGAAATAACTACCCCAAACCCTCTTAATATCCTGTTCTTTCGTTAAAAGAACATCATTGTTGTCCTTAATAAACCTAATGTACCTAGATCTTTTTCCTAGTCTCCCTAGAATTTGCAAGTCTGAATATGCCATTTTGTCCTTCCTTAGTGTCTAATCTCTTGTACATTTCCTCATA